ACTACTTCAAAAGCCGGATAAAAGAACAAAACAGCTTTGCGCGTCTTCACACGCGTATGCCATCCGAATGATGGGAGCCAGCTGCAAGAACCATTTGCTCGTCACTCAAGCGCTATCTCGGACGTAACCCGGCGCGCCGGGCAACGCAAAGTGTGGCTCTGGCGTGACCACAAAGACAATGTGTTGTCTCAACTGACGTCGACCGAATGCGCTGCATTCCTGGCGCTCGAAGTCGCCCGGGCGCTACGCGACGGACGTAACCCGGTAGCGCGAAAACATTCACGCAATTCCACCGTCTCGCCATGCGTTATTCGTCACGGGTATATTCCGAGCAGACTGCGGAAAGCAGCGCGGGAAATACGCTTTCAGGCACCTGTTCTTTTAGCAGCTCCACAAAACAAATAAATGAACAAACGTTGTCTTGATCATGCGGCTGCCATCCGAGCGAGGGAAGCCTACTGCCACTGTGCGAGCCACTGCTGGGCCGGATGTAAATGCAACGCGCGCGCCTGGCGTCTATCAAGACACTGCTATCTAAGCACCTGACGTCGATTCTACGCGCGGGTTGCTTGGCGCGCGCGCGCTACTTGACAGAGTAACCCGGCACGCCGGGCGACGCGCGACGTCTAGTCTGAACGCAGCGTGAACACTTAGTCACGCGAGCGTGTGTTCGATGAGCTTCCAGGCTCAAGTTCTTTTAATTGCTTCATAAAGCGAATAAAAGAACAAACCGTGTTGCATTTCTGGAAACGCGGACGCCATCCGAATGATGGAAGCCAAGTACACGAACCGCTTGCTTGGCGCTCCCGCGCTACTTAACGGACGAAACCCAGCGCGCTGGGCGACGCAGAGTGCGGATCAGGCGTCCACGAAGACATTGTGATATCCAAGCGTCTGACATCGATGTTACGCACCGCTAGCTGGGCGCTCGTGCTCTGCGTGACAGATATAACCCGGCGCGCCGGGCAACACACAACGCAGTCAGAACACTCAGTCATGCGAGCGCGCGTTCACGGCCGGGCTGTGCTGGACAAGCACGACGAGCTTCCAGGCTCAAGTTCTTTTAGCTACTTCATAGACCGAACCAAAGAACAAAACCGTCTTGTGTGTCTTGACACGCGGATGCCATCCGAATGATGGAAGCCAGCTGCGAGAACGAGCCTGTCGCTCACGCGCTATCTCGGATGTAACCTGGCGCGTGACCACAAAAACAATGTGTTGTCTTAGCTGACGTCGACTCGACACGCCGCATGCCTGGCGCTCAACGGCGTCTGGGCGCTACAAGTATTTCTATCCTTGGTGTTCCTCTACAACGCACTGTCGAGAAGATCTGAGGCTGCTGCCCAATCCAAGCTGCGAAAACCCACCGCCCCCCCCCCCCCAAGTTCGGGCCGGCGCAGCGCGGCTGCCCAAAATGGCATGGCAAACTCTGACTTTGAAAAATTGGTAGTGAACCAAAATTGCGAGGGCAGTAATAACTTCTAAACAAATAAAACACACACACACATATATATATATATAATATACATATTGTACATAATGAGCCATTTGAACTGAAAACAAGCGTTGCCTGACCTGTAGCAGCCTCATGCCACCTGCTTTCCCGAACCCTCCCGATTCTCTTCAAGCATCCTTCTTTTCAGAGAATTGCCGAAATTGGAGACAATGAGCGGCTTCCGAAAGAATGGGTGAACAGAAGGGGGCATCAGATGCTTGCATGCCTCTTGGTTTTTTGTATTTCTCAAAGGCTGACCAGATGCCTCGGTGAAGCCTTCGGCTTACAACTTGGCATCCGCAAAACCCATGGCATCTCTGAGATAGCCTACATCAAAACTCATCAAACACGTTGAAAGGCCGCTGCCCTAGTGGCCCTTTCCTCTGCTTTCCAAGCTTCAATCTCACTTCCCTTTGGAATCCTTCGCACATCCGATGCCGTTTCAATCGCTCCTTTCACCTCCGAATTTCCGAATCAACCCCCCGAATGCCATGGAAATCTGAAAAACTTGCTGGTGCTCAGTAGGGAATGAGGGAATGAACCCAGGCTTTGGTCCCCTTAAAGGAAAATCCAGAAACCACCACTTGGATGGTTTATAAGACTCATTCCATCCAACTCCCTCCCTGCCAATGTTTTTTTAATCCAAACAACTCCCCCCATTCCGTGCCTGGCCCCTTTAAGGAAACCACCACTTGGATGGTTGATAAGGCTCATTCCTTCCATTTGCTTAAGTCCCCTGGAAAAAAATGAAAAACCGATTTCCTTAGTGATAGACTCCCTTTAAAGCCAACAGGGGAAAATAAAACATATTATTAGCCAAGTGGAAGATTCCATCCAACTCATTCCCTGCATCTCTCGCAGCCGGAAAATCCGCCTGCTTTTTTTTCTGCCAAACAACTCCCATTGAATGTTAAGTTTACACAAGGGTCATTCCACTCGCTGGACAACTTCGAGCCCGTTCCGCGCCTGGCCATGCGCTGCCACAAGGGCACACGGAAGGCCCGGCTCAGCGAGGCCTCGTAGTCCTCCGCGCGCTCCATGGATCGATCCAGCTCGGACACCGCCGCCAGCGGCATCCGCAGCGTTTGGACCAACATCCTCGGGCGAGCAAATCCTTTTAAAGCGAACTACAAGGACACCAACCAAAATCCTGCTCAAGTCCTTTAGCCCGGGAAACCAATTACAAGGACACCAAGCATTTTGTGGCTCCCTTGGCAAGCCCATATCCTCGAATCACGATTTTTCCAGAAATTTGGCCTGAGTCCACGAAGTGTTGCCCGGTCCGCGGCTCGCAAGGCGACAAACCCGAAGCCCCAAGCTGGGGATTCGGGATGTTCAAAGAAACCAATGGGAACGCCTCAGGATTCTCAGGGGGCAGTTTGATCCATGTTCTGAAAAGAAGGTTCCGTCGGGGGAAGTACAACTCGAAGCTTGGATGCCGATACTTTTGGACAGAAACGCGAGGCTTGTTCACATTGAACATGGAACATGGGCACGCCCCCTGCAAGGACATGACCTTGTTAGATCTGCGGCACGCGCCTGAATTCCCGAATTTCTCGAACCTGCCCACTGTCTTCTGTCCTCTCACCCCGCACCGCATATATATCATATACCCCTATCTTCCGATCCCAGGCTATAACTCTGAGAGCCCTTCCCAACGGCTTCGGAGATTCGAGGGGCAAAGTGTTTCTTGGAGAACATATCCATTGCCTCCAAACCATGGCGTGGCCACTCGCAGCCTTTGCCTGTCAAACGCTCTCTCTCCGCTCGGAGGAATTAGACTGGGTCGCAAGAACACACTCTCCTGCAAATTGACGCCCAGAACAACAAATGCAGAGGCCTCTCCTTTTGGCTTGGAGCCCCTTCTGTTGGGCAAGACGAAGCTTTTCGTCCAAACCCGCGGCAAGGACCTTCTTTGCAGCTCGGCAGCTTGGTGGTGACGGATTGCGCCAGGATCACGGCGTGCATGGAAAACCAAACCGAGCAAAGCAGCCAAAAGCAGGAGGTCCTCGGCCAAATCTTTGATGCTCTCATTTGGCCTCATTCTGCCTCATGTAGCCGTTTTTTAGTCTTGCTTGGCGTTGTGCGGCCGCAGGCGGGGTCAGCGGGCAGAAGTTGCCACTGCTCTGAGCCAGTTTTTATAGCAAAACTGTTTGATCCACGGGCCAGCTAGGAAAAGCTACATCCGATTTTGGCTACCAGCATCTATGGCTGATTATGTGCCAAGTTCTAGGTCACATCACAAATGAGTGGTCGAAACTTCTTCCCGCAAGAGGACATGGGAATTTAGAGCCTGCCCCCGTCCCCTTAATTTTTCCTTGGGGTACCTTGGAAAACTGATGGGCGCCGTTCGGCCTTTTCGGGGGGCTTCCGCCCAACTCCGCGCATGAACCGAAGTCGGGGTCGACGCCCTGAGCTGCCGAAGCTCAGAAGCGTCATCGAGAAGATCACCTGGCGCTCGCATGCGATGCCTACTGTGGGTGAACAAAATCCTCCACCCAGGAAACCCAAATACCAACAAATGGCTGCCCATGGTTTCAGAGTGGTGCAGGATTTCGTCCATCCACAATCATCCGCAGTATTTGACCCCCGGACGACTTTTTGCTCGTCGTATTACGGGGGCTGCTACCTTCATGCCCCCAAAACAAAATGCGAATTCACGTGTGTGGAACCGTGTCTCAGCGGCAACCCAAGCAATCAGTCGGGCGGGGAACACCACCGAAGCTTTATGCCAAAGCACGTTGACCTGCTCTTCAATGAAGGTCCTGGCCGAATCCCCTTTGTCAGTGCGATCGAAGTTGAAGAAAATCGTCACGATGAACCCCAACTTCAGGGTGTTCACAATGAGGTAGCTGTCTACCTGGCGAAGCCGGTCGTGAAATCAGCGGGCGATTGCACAAAGCAAATTGACATATGGTTATTAAGGCACAGCAGGGAATGTGTGTGGACAACTTCTGTAGTCGCCGTGCTCCTGTTTTTTGACCATCACGTCCGAACATTAGAAGAAAGCCAGCACAACTCACAACTCCATTCATAGTCGAGGGTTCCCGCAAGACAAACACAATGCATGATTCCCGAGTTTTGCGGTACGAGTGATTGACCATGGACTTCTTGATTTGTGACCACAAACGGCTTCCCAGTCGCAACAGTTGCCCAATAACCCCCAAACACAGGTTCAACCCCTGTTTAGGGCCAGGGCATAGGGAAAACGGGTGGAATCCACTCAGTCACTGGGGCTCTTTCCTTGTTGATGGTCAGCGCCGCCAAGTCCCGGATGTCTTCCCGAAAGAGAGCCGTCCTTGCCAGCAATAGGCTCTGGGTCTGGAATCGCTTCGCCTGGTGCACGTTGGCGTTGAACATGAAGCTGTCCCGGTTGTATTGCCATAAGCCTCGCTCTCAACAACAGGTCGGCTAGAGGAGCTTCCTAGGAAGGTTGCCTACAAAATCAGGCCCGGCTTGAAACCTTCATACGCGTCGGACCTCGATTTCGGAAAAGTCGCCGCTTCCGCGCAGCATTCTAAAATGGTAGGGGCAGCCCAGGCTGGCAGATTTCCTCTTTGCGTGGTGGCACTGTCACAGCATTGAATTCTCTGGATACTGCTTATCCTGGTCGAGCACGTAGCTCTTGCAACCATTCTCTTTTTGGAGTGTGTGTCTGTGCGATAGTTCACACCAGCCGAAACCAGTTCCAGCTGTAAAAGGCAGATGAACCTCCATAAGGTAAACTATTGCCGTTGCTGCGCACGTTTGAGGCCTAGCAATCAAACACAAGAGCAACCATGGGCAAGGCTTCGGCAAGGCTTCGCGCCATGGGCGAAGAGTGTTGGCTCGAGCGATGCTGGCTTCATCCAACAAATGATGCGAAGCCCCAGCGCAATATGCGGGCAGCAGCAAGACAACGCGCGTCTTTTTGTAGCTTCACTACAACAAGCTCAAACAAACAGTCCCCGGCCACATGCGAAGCTAAAGGCAGGCTGCTTAAGTAAAAGCCGTGTTTCTAGGCAGGCTGGATGGCCGTTTTCTAGGAAGACCGGGGTAACATGAAAGCTTGACTGGTATTTGTTTTGTCCGTCTGGCACCTGCGTGCGTGCAAAGTTCGGCTCTAAGTAAGAAATTGCAAGCAGTTCTGCAACAAGTGCGTTCCTTGGGAACGAAACATGTTATGCAAATCGACTTCAGGAGTTGCCTTTCGTTTCCAGCAAACTTTCGTTCGGGCCGCGAAGCCCAGATATGCTCTTCAGAACTGGGGGCCCTGCCCATTCCGCCATAGGAGGCAGAAGCACCGACCACTGCAGAAGAAACTCCCACCATGGCTTCCGCGCAGCTGAAAGCAGCAGCATGTGACTCGAAGGACG